TTAGCTAGCATGAAAGCTTATGCTTTAAAATTCTGATAGGCTGCTTATGCTGAAAAGTGACTTATTACATTTGCTTTTGATTATTCCAATTCTATTTAATGAGTGAATCACAATACAATTGTTCTTAATTTATATTCAATTGTTTGTCAGTAAAGTGTGATTGACTTCACAACTACAGTTGAACCTCAATTCAATGAACCTCGTTTTGGTGAATCTTTCGTTGCATCGAATGCTTTCCAGGCTGAAATTATTCACCTGATTCAACGAATAAAATTTTCATAGAACTAATGTAATGCTACATATCATGCAGCCATTATAAGGCACAGTTGAAGCCTTTGGAAAACTATTGAGGATATTTAAAACCAAACTCTATAGTTCATTTTCATTTACACGGTTTCCAGTTACACGGTTTTCAGTTTTCATTCACTGAAATATTTACTTAAATTTCCCTGAGGGCTACCATCTCACTAGTGGCCTTGATGAGGACAGGAGGCTCGTGGCATGTTAAAGGTCCCCATGGGAATTGGGAATGAAGCATGATAAATATGGTGGGTAAGATTAAATGCTTTTACAAACAGGTTCTCTTGATACAGTAGTTGCCCTTCATGTCATACATAGGTCGAAATTAAACGTTTTGCTCAATGAAATTGACCCATAAAGAGCATGGGAAATATTAGGGTATGAATGTTATCTCTTAATGTGGTTCCAATCACATTTTTAAAGATTTTTGTAGAAGGATGCAACATTAGAAGAAAGAGTAGGGTTCTTGGGAAAGCCATTGAGCATATTTAAAACCAAATTATGTGGTTCATTTTCATTTCCAGTTGCAGCAGTTTTTTATTCATTAAAATATGGGCTCTTCTACCTTTGAAAAGGAAGTTTCAAGGTTAGGGTATGGAAAATGTGCTAGATGTGATGAAATCTGTATACTGTATAGGCAGGTTCATTTAGTAGTTGTACTTCATATGATTGGTTGAAATTAAAATTTGCTCAGTGAAATTAACCCTAGAGTGTGGGAAATATTTGGGAATGAATTGTAGCACTCTTAAATATGGCTCCAATTGCATTTTTAATGATTTTTGTAGATGTAAGTAACAGTAAAAGAGCTATAACTGAAGCAAATGCATTTTTCTTGTCTAACAAAAAAGTGCATATCACAAGTGCCTCCAGAAGGTATCTCTGGTTGAAACGAATGCCTCGCTCCAATTAATCAGAGATGGTCCCATGTAGTTTGCTGAATTGAGGTTGCACTGTATTCCAGTCTCATTAGTTCATGGCATGTCAAAGCCTAAGTTCACATTAATCTGACATTGTTATATATCTGCTAGTCATAACATCTGAATAACTAATAGTGGAAAGATTAACTGGTGTCTTGTAGAACAATTTAGCATTATACACTGTTTATGAACATGAAGATGGTGTAGAAAGACAATGTGAGTAAATTACTCGTCATCAGTCTTCAGAGTCCAAACAGTGGTTCCCTGTAGCTAGCCACAGTGAGATAGCTCCACACATGTCACATCAGCCCCTACGAATCCTGACTTGTGGACTATCCTCTATATTCTTGTGGGTTTTGCATGGCATATGCTGGCCATATCCAGGAGCTCAAGTAGTGAGTTGTGGGCTCTGTCCACCACTTGCTACTCATGTGTTCTTTGGTGGTGCCTCTTTGTGCCACTGGATTTTTGCCTGATCTGGTCCTGTTCCTGGATGTGGGCATGTGGCTGCTCAGCGGGTAGCTTTTTTTTTTGCTTTCTAAAACCAAGGCTGCAGGGGTTTAGGAGGTTGATGAACCAATTTAGCCTTTTGAGACTGAACTGGTTCATCCTTTGCCTCATGTTCTGGATGATCACTTTATCCCAGGTTTCCCTCATTGGAGACACTCCTGAATATCCCTGACCCTCTGGAACGCTTATTGGCATGTCCCTATACATTCGAGGTTCAGGAACTAGAGGATGCATCCTGTGCTATGTCCGGCGGTGGCTTTCCTCCATTACCTTTGTGCTACCAATTCTGCTCTAGTGCATGATTTGTTTCAAGTCTCATGTTTTTCAGGTCATCTGTAGTATTATTCAGTCTAGCCAGCCTGTAGTCTTCCCTCGTGCACATGATCTTCAGAAATATGCCACTCTCAAGGCTGTGTTGACTAATATGGCCTTTGGTGATATTTGGGCCTAAGGATTTTGGGAGTTTAACAAGGTTCTGGTGGCTCTGTATTCGGTGAATGTTTCCAGGCCTCGGCGTCCTTGTGTTGCCTTGGGTCGTGTCTCTCGTCTGAGGGTTTTTCTTTGTCCAGACTCCTGCAGTTTCTCCTTCCCCCCCATAGTAAGTTTCAATGTGTTCTTCCTTCTTTTTGTCTAGTTAGCTTCAGGAAGCCACAAGGGGCTCCCCCTCAGAAAACCGGCATTGAATGTAATGAAACGCCTATTTCTGGGTGAGCCTCAGTGGTTTCTCTATTCCCCTCTTCCTTCCAGTAGATTGGTGGGTCTTGTTTGTGCATCTGCTCCAATCCCTTGAGGGGGATAAGACTCTCTTCTATGGTGGGGTGAACAAGCTCATTGTAATTTTGAAAGATTCAATAATTTTTTTTTTTACACAGTTCGGAACATTCATTGGCGGGTTGCGAGGCTTTGGTTTCTTTTGAACCCAGCAGTGGTTTTTGATTTGCTGACTTTCTAGATGCCATTCCTGGTGAGATGGTGAAATGTCACCACTCCCTGTGCATCTGTGAGGGGGAGGGGGGGCCAGGTTCTGGCACTGGTCCCTGGTAGGCCTAAGAATTCCTTGGCTGATGTGACCTGGTAGATTGGACCCATTGTTACAGGAAGCCACTGGGGGCTCTCCCAGATATAGGCATTTCATTACGCCCAACGCTGGTTTTTTAACTTGCACAACTAATAAATGATGCCTCTGTGAAATAGTTTGTTGGCTTTCTAAACTAATATATTGTTTCTTTATTTAAGGGGCACTTAGACATTAAAATTATTTTTGGTATTCAGTTAGTTTCTGAAGCAGCTAATAAAGTTTTTATGTTATGTAAAGTTTGTGTTAAAAATGTTAGATATCTTTGTATTTACTGTAGAAACTTAGACTACTTGTGACTTGTTAAATTGTGTATCTTTCAATGTCTACCTTAAGAGACTGAAGTATTCTATGTTACTTCATTTTTTTTAGATTTTAACCTGTAACTCTTACAAGTCCTATATTGCTGTAGATACTTCTAGTTGTAGTAATCTTTAGTTTTAGAAAATAGTATCCATTAGCAGTTTGGATATTCCATTGAATTTAATTCCCAATAACTCTTCATGATAATATGACAGTTGCCAATTAACTTTTTCTGAGCTCTTCACATTCAGTTGCCCCCATAGGTAAGATCCACTGAATCCTTTGGACAGGGGATTGTGACAATCTGGTGGGTGACATTTTCAGCACTGGTGCCACATGGAACTTATCAAATGGTCCCTTCAAGGGCATAAAAATGATAAAGGAGGTGTGTGTGTGTGTTCGTTACCTGCAAGTGTAGTCTGATCTCTTGGCATTCAAGTATTTTCACTAACTTTTCTCCTGATGTAATATTATTTGTGAGTTGAAGCCATGTTGTGCTGTACGAGTAGTAGAGGTACACAAAACAAAGATAAGAGGAACTTCTTCTTCGTGGATGATAATGCCATTATTAGAAAAGCATGATCATGGCAAGCAGATGGCAAAGGAAAATGGCATTTGTACTACTGGTGTTTCCTGATAATAAAAGCAAAGGAAGCAGCTCATATAGTTTGTGAATAAAATAAAGGGCAGTGGTAGAATGAATAAGGGCAGTGTAATCAAATAAAAACATTGAAACTATCTAAGCATGAGGATTTAGTTGCTGCTGCTGCTTACCAATGATTTATGCAGCATTGTAGCCTGGAGTGAACATTTGATCTCCGAGTGACTGGCATTACCCATGGCCATTGAGGACTTCACAACCAATTTAGGGTGATTGCACAAGTTTAAGTTGGCATGATGTAGTGCTAGAAATATATTTTGCAGTCTCTGTATAATTATTATTTATTGGTACACAAAACAATTATTTTTAAATTATATGTGCAAATATGCATAAACATTTACTTACGACTTCATATAAGAACAGTTCAGAAAATTTGGTAATAGTTTAAAAAAACAGAAGTATTTGGAAATCCAGATTTTAATGCAAATCCATATTAAGTATGGAATAATATAATTCATATTTTGGAGGTACCAGTGTATAATTATCTAAAAAACTTAAAGCTCATTTCACCCCTTAATTTATTTCTAAAATACAGGTACTGTGTAATTAGTGGCTTAATGAAATCTACAAATACTGTGTCTGCTTATCAACCACTATAATCTGAGTCTCGGTACTTTTTAAATAAATTATTATTGTCATTACTGTAACCTCTGCTGCTTGGGATTTGCTTGACATTAAATATAGTGTGACAGCCTCATTATAGATAATGTGGCAAACATTTAAATTATCCCCCAAGCTATTCCACATTCTAAGAAATTATATTCTGAGCATTTCATAGTTCCAAATATTCCGCATAACCACTAGTGACATCTGCAATCATATTCCCTAACCATTAATAACGTAATAACTTTTATGACCTTAATAACCTTGCAGGGACAGTTCAAAAAGTTCCATGTGATGCCAATGGAGAGAGTGTTGCCTGCCAGACATAGAATCTTGTCCAGAGTACACACAGGAGGTCTTTTCTTGGGAGGGTAGGTGGGGGGGGTAACTGAATGGCTCGTGTTCAGAAGGTGCTTTTCATGTTTACTTAAAGCCATATTTATCCAGAGTAGTAGTGTTGTGGTCAAGTGAATTTGATTAAAATTTAAGGATAATTTTTTCTTTTCAAGTTGGCACACAGCAAGAGCCAGGTGTGCTATTTTTCCCAACATATCTAACTTGAGCATGTTTTTGCATGGTCATATTGCTTGCTTCTGCATGATTACCTGCTGCTCTGCACACTTGCATACAGGATTTTGTTGTAAGTATGAATTTTTTCTTCAGATTTTTGTTTTGTACTTGGCAATTAAATGTTGGACTATAATCTTTTCAGTTACAGTATTCTCGAACCTGCAGAAGTCTCTTAAATTCTAGTATGACACATGAAATACTTCATTTATTGTAGTATATAATATTAATGCATTATAGAATATTCCTTCTCATTTTCTCGTACTGTATTTTGTATTTGTTAGTTGAATGATTAGAATATATTACTGCACTGTACATTCTGTATATTTCTTTCTAAACTATTGGTTTGTAATTTTAAGACTAATATTGCCTTAGTAATTTGTGTGTACAGTATTAGGAATGGCATACAGTACCTTCATACATACATACATACATACATACATACATAGGCGCCTGGTGGCTGAGTGGACAGCGCTCGGCATTCATAGTCCTAGGGACCAGGAATCGATCCCCCGGCAATGGTGGAAACAAATGGGCAGAGTTTCTTTCACCCTGATGCACCCGTTTACCTAGCAGTAAATAGGTACCTGGTAGACAGCTGCTATGGGCTGCTTCCTGTGTGTGCATGTGTGTGGGGAGGGGGGGTGATTTAATTGATTTACGGTTGAGAGGCGGGCCGAAAGAACCAGAACTCTACCCCCGCAAGCACAACTAGATGACTACATACCGTACATACATTCATACATCTGGGGAGGGATTCCGGTAGTACACTCGGGTTTATTCTTGACGCACAATCGGGAATTCTGGGTTTGAATCACAGGCGGAACAGAAATGGTTGGGCATATTTCCTTTCACCCGATGCTTCTGTTCACCTAGTAGCAAGTAGGTACTCAGGAGTTAGTCAGCTTGTTGTGGGGATGCTTCCTGGGCAGGGTCAGTAATTTGACCCTGGGAGGAGGGATGGGACCTTGATAAATGCCTAACGTTTATGAATTCACTCTGGCTTCCTGTCCCTTGACCCAGTAAATTATACATACATTTATACATAACTGTATGTATGTACATACAGTTATACATACATACGAAAGGGTGAGGGAACTGCACCTCACGTCGCTGGAAGACAGAAGAGCTTGGGGAGACATGATCACCATATACAAGATTCTCTGGGAAATTGACAGGGTAGACAAGGATGGATTATTTAACACAGGTCGTACACGCACAAGGGGACACAGGTGGAAGCAGAGTACTCAAATGAGCCACAGAGACATTAGAAAGAACTTTTTCAGGTCAGAGTTAGTAAATGGAATGCACTAGGCAGTGATGTGGTGGAGGCTGACTCCATACACAGTTTTAAATGTAGATATGATGGAGCCTAGTAGGCTCAGGAATCTGTACATCTGGTGATTGATGGTTGAGAGGTGGGACCAAAGAGCCAGAGCTCAACCCCCACAAGCACAACTAGGTGACTACATACATATATACATACATGTGTTGGCAGGAGCCCATAAACTACAGGCCAGTGTCCTTAACTTTTATACCATGCAAGGTGATGGAGATTATGAGAAAAAAGATGGTAGCACATTTGGAGAGAAGAAACTTTGTAACACACCACCAGCATGGTTTCAAGGATGGCAAATCATGTCTAATAGGTTCAATAGATTTCTATGACCAAGCATTAAGCAAGAAGAGAAGGACAGAGTAGCGTGATGTATCGCACTATTGTGATTTCTGTGTGTACATTCCTCTCAATGCTTGCCGATGATGCTACAGTTGTGAGCAGGATTAAGACAGAGGAGGACTGCAAGAGGTTACAAGATGATCCTGACAGACTGAAGGAATGGTCCAGTAAATAGCTTCTAGAGTTTAACTTGAGCAAGTGCAAAGTGATACAAGGTATTATAAGTCAACTTGCATATCATTAATGTTTGAGGGCCACAGGGCTAATAACATTGCAAACTACAACCTGGTAAACTGCTTCGACTGGCAGGCAAAACCAGGTGAGGGTAGATGATGGTTTGGGGCCCTCGGTGAATCACGACTTGTCTATCTATGCATGAGAAGATTGGACCCAGCAGACTGCACAGATAAAACCACCAGAATGTTTCAAAGGACAGGAAGGCAGACCCAGCAAAGCTTTGTGGAGCACAACTTGGGAGCAGTAAGACATGTAGGACACTGCTGGCCATTCACTACTTCCTAACCTATCTCCTGCCGTCTCTACTTGTCTTGCTGCTGGACTCAAATAGGCCGGGGCAAGAGTGTGAGGCTGATATGTGCAACTCTCCCTCACTTTAATCAAAGTCCAGTGCAAGTCATAACTTCAACTCATATATTGGAGTCATGGTCATCTTCGACAACAAAGGATGAACATCATTATGATGCATAGCATGTCTCCCCTTGCTGAAGCTTTTCCTTTGATTCTTTTTCTTGTCTCCTAAACATTTATTTAATTAATAACATATGTTACATATTGTGTAACATATTGATCACAGGTATGGATCATAATTTATAGTAGTTACAGTAACCTTAATACATAAAAACTAGTGAAATTTTTTATTATGTGTAGAATATTTACATAATTGCTTAGTAAACTGTCCCTCTCAGGTCCTGTTCTGCATTTCTGATACCAGTAATATTCATAAATAACCCATTCTTGTTTACATGAAATAATAATGCATAGGTTCATTTTTACTCTTCTCCCAGTCAGATGAGGTTTACCTTGAAGCTGGAGTCCAAAACATTACATCTGGGCCACTCTGCTTAGAAAAAGTGGAGCTTGAACCTTCACCATTCTTTTCAGGTATGTTACTGCCATACAGATTCTACTTTTTCAGAACAAGATCTGTCTGATATAAAGCTATGGTCTGTGAGGTCTCTCTCTTGCAGGTCATTATGTTCCCTTAAACTACAGTATGTATCTTAAAATATTATATTTTAAGTACTGAAGTGTCTTCTGTTGTACCTTTTTGTGTTTATTATTTTCTCTCGCAATTATAACATTTATTGTAGTAACTTCAGGATTATTAATTAGATTGTAATTCTAATCTGTAATTCTTTGTGCCATTAAAAATATTTTTGAGCTTTTTTACAGGATCATTATCTTGGAATTACTGCAGAATGCAGTTCCCAATAGGTGCTCTTGGGTGTTCACATACCTGGTGTGTGTTTTCCGAGACTTGGTCTTTTCCAACTTGTAGCATTAGGGAGCTGCTGAGTAGCCCACCAGAATGAAGGGTTTTATTGTATTCAAAACTGCATTTTTGTATTATTACTTAAAGATACAAATGTATATTTCAGTTACACCTATGAATAAGATTTCTCAAGAATCGAATATGTTGGTGTTTGGAAGAATGAATGTCGTCAACCCCCATGACACCAGACAGTACTTGTATTGCCTCAAACCCAGACCAGAGGCTCGCAGCAATCCAGCAGCTCTTCGACAAGCCACAGCAATAGGAAAACTAGACATTGTATGGCGAACAAACATGGGCGATCGTGGTCGACTTCAAACCAGCCAACTTCAGAGAATGGTTTAAAAATTCTGTTTATCATGGTATATTGTTAATGAACTAAGAAAAACCTAATATAAAATATTTAGTTTTTAGTTACAAGTTTTATTTGTATGTACACTTTTATGTACATTTCTATGAACAGTACTATAATGTTATGTAAAATAGTTCAGTATCCCTGTACAGTAATAATTGATTTGTGATATTTTAAATATTATTCATATTTTAGGCACCACAGTATGGAGATGTACGAGTGACAGTTGAACGAATTCCCAGTGTGGTTCGTTTGGAAGAACAATTTGAAGTTGGATTATCTATCTCTAATATATGGTAAGACAGTTATGGTGGGTGTTTTATTAAATCATAAACAAGTTTTACCGAAGTCAATTTAAATAGTTAAAATTATTTATATAAATGTTGATGTGATGGGTATTAACTAAAGTGTGTGTGTGCAATTGCAGGATGAGTGGTGGTCTCATGGTGGTCAATCTTGTGTGTGTATTCATCTAATTGTGCTTGCCAGGGTTGTGCTTTGGCTCTGTGGTCTTGCCTCTCAGCATTTAATCAACTGGTGTGCAGGTTCTCAAGTCCATTGGGCTTTGTCATATCTACATTTGAAGCTATGTAGAGGCTGCCACCATTTCACTTCTTAGTGAATTCCATTTTCATTAATTTTTGTAATTACTGTAGGTTCATTTTTACACTTCTCACAGTTAGATGAGGTTTACCTTGAAGCTGGAGTCCAAAACATCACATCTGGGCCACCAGATGTGACCTATATGGTGGCCATCCAGATTGGATGGATGTATTTAAATGTGATTTTGAGTTTGCAAATGCAGTAGAGGCTCCTCTCCTTAAGCTTTTTGTATGTTATAGCACCTTGAGGTGGATTGAGCTCTCGATTGAACTTCCTGCCCCATATGACTACAGTTACTCGGAGCCTCTTGAATAGTCTGTACTCAAGTCAAGTGCATAAGGGTAGAGTAGCTACTGACATGAGGCTCAAAAAAGGATGATTTTATTTTAAAAATGTGCTCAAAAGCATGTTTTGTCTTTTGTCTGAATAAAAACATATTTGATGCATAAAATAGAAGAAAATAACAGTCAAAGTGCAACAAAAGTTCTTTAGTAATGCAGGAAGTTGTAGAAGTAATCAAACTGAGTGAGACTCCACTGTATATTTGCTATAAAATATATATTACACTCAGATTGATTATACAAGGTATATTAATGCTTCTTTTGTTTTTTTTTCTCACCAGTGAGCGGATTCTAGAACTACACCTTGAGTTTCTGGGAGGTGGTGGAGGTTCAGAGTGGAGTGGAGTCAGCAGTTGCAGTCTACCACCTCTTCAGCCTGGACAGTCTACTGATCTCTCACTCACTTTACTACCACTGCAAACTGGTTTGCAGGTTAGTGTTATAAAATAGTACATTAATTCATCTTTTAACCAATGATATATGATAACTAATGGGATATTTTAACAACTTATTGAGTGGGTAATGTTTGAGTATGGGTTTTATGTCATGGTACTTAAGCAAATGTTTTTGTAACTGAAACACTCAAAGTTAGGAGAGGTGAGAGACCTTGTGTTTTCCAGCTTGGCTGCTGAGAAGTAAACAGGTCGTGTACATCAGGTAATTTAGGGATGTTTCGTGTTGTATAGACATTATTTCGTCTCTCATCTCTGGATTTATAGACAAAATTAAAAATATCCTTTTAGCATATTGACTTAAATGACATTATTTTTAGACAAAGCTTCTTCTAGCAGCACATTGAAGAGAAAATGTGTTGACAATTAATTATAAAGGAAATAAGAAATTGATAAAGTTGAGTGTAACATCTTTAGGGCTGTTGTATAAGTCTTACCTATCCTCGTCTGTGAATTGCAGGTGAACTTTTGTACCAATACAGTAAAAGCAGAAATATTGAAGGCTATTGTTAAAACAGTGTTAGCAAATACTTACAGAATTACAGTATTGTAAAATGGATTATTTGCTAGCCAAATAATAATACAAATAATATTGCCTACTACTAATGGATGCCTACTATTACTACTGCTATAATAATACTAATAATTTATTTATAATTTTTTAAAGAGGATCTTATTAAAATGATTACCATACATAGGAGGTATTTTTTTTTTTATAAAGTCAGCAAAGTTCTGGCCTAATTCTCAATAGGTCCCCAAAGCATGTCACAAACACAAATAGTACATTGTTGATATGACTGGCTCCTAGTGACTATCCTTACCTGCCAGGGCAAATGCTATGTCAAACCATCTTTGAATCATCTTCCCATCTTCAAACCATGGGAATTAGAGAGTGACTGATCACTGAGGTTAACTGCTCACAAAATAAGCTAGTAGAGGATTCCAAACACTCAACCTCCCTCCAAGTAATGTTTGGCATGTTATGGAGGCTGGATTGCTGGTACTTTTCATTCTAATTTCTCTGATGGGTTTGTACTGGTTGTAAGTTTTATTGATGGACATCTCACAAGTAACAGAAGTTTCTCTAAGATGCAGTTGTTGACTGAGGAAAATATTCTGCTTGATTCAGTATTCAGAGTGTATTCACAGTTTCAAGACTGAAAAGTTTGAGTGGTGAGGGAGAAAGGCACTTCACTTTAAGCCCCATACCAGGTTCCCAAAGCCTGGTGCACAGTTATGTGGTGATGTGTACCACTAATGTACTGGTGAGATGTACCATTAGCAGTACACAACACCACATAGCCATGCACCAGGGGGCATAGCTAGAGAACCTGGAATGGGGCTTAAGTGAAGCCCCTTGCTCTGTCACCACTCATTCTTTTCACAGAGTCTTGAAACTCTGAATGCTTATCCTAGCAGTATAGGAGTTTTGTGATGTGTTCTACTCTTTAGGAATAAGACGTGCCCTACAACTCCTAAGTACATCAGATTGGACAACCTCCAAACCTCAACTAGCACAAAGCCAAAGTGCTGCTGTCAGAGGATTTGCGCATCCACTTAGCTGCCAGGTTTTAATATCTGTAAATGGCATTGGAGATCATCCAGCAGTATGGTCAATTGCATGACTAGATGGATTATGGGATAATTTGCCAGGAATGTATGATAGGATTGGATTCCTAGTGTTTCGATTCCGATTATTGAAGTGACTGAATCTGAAGGGGGTAGTTTTGAATTTTACTCTTGCAGCAATGTAGTCAAAACAGGAATTCATACCCAAGTTACTCTGCAGTGTAACATATTGCAATGTCTGTTGGTTAACACTGTCAGGTGTGCCTCTTGCATTGCCAGTGATAAATATTTTGAAGTGTGGTCCTTGGAAGGTTAGGTTCCTGTTTTGCATCAAGTTGTAGAGCTGTCTGCCTTTGTGGTCTGTTCCAGCTGAGTGGTAATTGAAAAAGGGCTGGGTGGTGGGCATTAAAGTCACCAGCTATGATAGTTGGCTGGTCCTTATTAGGAACCTCAATCTTTCTATTACAAAGATTAAAGGAAGTTAATTGAGCCTAGGTGGAAGGTATGTAATATAGATAATAGGGATTCATGGCTGGTAGTGAATTCCATGGCTAGGATATGGTCGTCCTTAACAAGGATGGTACAGAAGGAGTCTCTCTTCTTGATGAGAAGAGCTACTCCACTAAACATGCCCCATGTATTTCCTCTGCTGAGTAATCCCAGAGAGAGAGGGATGTCTTACTCAGTGTAGCAGGCTCTCTCATTGAATTGGATGAATTTGGGGTTTTCTATTCTTATATTAGAATCTTGAATTATGTCTAGGAACTTGAGGTCATCTTGAGTATCTTGAGTTGATTTCGGGGCTTTTTAGTGTCCCTGCGGCCCGGTTCTCGACCAGACCTCCATCCCTCAGGAAGCAGCCCGTGACAGCTGACTAACTCCCAGGCACTTATTTACTGCTAGGTAACAGGAGCATCAGGATGAAAGAAACTCTGCCCATCGTTTCTCGCCGGCGCCTGGGATCGAACCCGTGATCACGTGTCCAGCATGCTGTCCACTTGGCCGGCCAGCCCAACTCAAATATTCTTTAGCACAGATTGTGCTATACTGTAACTACTGTATTAAAAGTAATTTTAGAGTAGTGCTCATGATTCCAGGAGTCTAGTGGGCCAGTCTAGAATGGTCTAGTGGGTCTAGTGGGCCATAATATTGGTAAACTACCTGCAGTGAGGGAGGTGCTCTAGAGTGACTAGAACCCTTTAATTTTACACACATTTGTTATGAGCAACCAAGTTTAACAGGTGTATTATCTACAGAGATTGGAATAGATTCAGTAATAGACATCTTAAGAATACAAAGAGATAAGGGCTTAGGTTTGTGTGTACTGGTACTTAAATAGTGTGTTTAAATGATTTAATTTTCATTTTTTATTTTCAGACTATTGCTGGAGTGCGCTTGACCGACACCTTCCTAAAAAGAGCATATGATTATGAAAACTTGGCTCAGGTATTCATAACAAATGACAAATCTGTAGAGAAAGAGGCATTCTTTTCTGCATGGGTCAACCAAGCTGCTTAATTATTTCTTATTTCCTAATACTGTTGGTATGTAATATGAACATATAATGTATGTTACTGAAACTTGTATGCTATTGTACAGTATTGTACTTTTGTTACTGTAGATTAATTTTGTTAATGACTTGTTCACTGTTATGTTTCACACAGGATTTTGAATCCTTTATGATTTTAAAAATGCAAAAAATAGCTTAAGACATTGTCATTATGTGAGATTAAGAAAGGATAATAAAAATACTGTATGAGTTTATAATTGTTTATAACATTTGGCTGTGTGTTATAGTTATGAGATGATGGTACGTGTATTTTATTAACAGCTATTGGCAATGTAAATACCCTTGCATTTATGTGACCACTCATTAAGGGATGTAAAAGTCAATATTGAATATTATTACCATCTGCAGCCTATACTAATGTCAGTACACGGCAATCTCCAAAATCTGGATCATTTCATTCTGGACCCACTCCGATTTCCGAATAATTGTTCTTTATTGGCTATAGCCAAATTTTCAAGATTTTTCTTTTGGCAAAAGATATAATACATGTTTAAGCAGATTCAAACTTACAAATATGTTTTTGTGTGAATAAAAATTGAGTTATATTGTAGTTCTATGGCCTTGTAATATCTGTAATGATAGTGAATTGGACTTGAATTTCTCAATGCCCTTTGCCTTCAGCTATAGAATGAGTGTATCATCATGAGCCAGACTCGGGCTACAATGCTACACAAATCACGAGTAATCAGCAACATCAAAGTCTTCACATTTAGCTGGTTTCAATATTTTTTTTACTTTTTACCACCATTGTTCTTCCATTTACAGGTACTCAGATTACATGATCTGCTTCCTTTTTTTTTTTTTTTCTGGGGGGAGCCCTTACGGCTCCCTGGAGCTTATCCAGGCTGATATGCTAATGTCAGACTTTGGCATCAGTCGTGTGTATGGAGTTCTGTGGGCCTACTGGGCTCACGAGCCAGAATCTGGCCCCCTCAGAGAGGCATGGGGAGCAATGGCCTATGGAAACCCTGGTGCGGTTGGAAGCATTCTATGTATGCCATCGACTGGGTCAGGCACCCAGAAAGGTAAGCATCCCAAAACAAACCCTTATTCTGGGGAAAACTGCTACCAAAAGCCGACCAAGTGGATACAACTCCCCAAAAAGAAACGAGCATGATGTCACACGTTGCTGCGCCACTGTCTGCGCAACTTCCCCCTCCCCGGGAAGGGGGAAGAGGGAGCCCCAGACCCTCGCGCTGGCCATCCACCCTTCAGTTCTAAGGCTGATTTTAGAGGCGGAGGTTGTGTGCTCTGGCTCCAGTGATTTTTCAGCCCTGTGTTTCGTGTGTGGTGTCTGTCTTCCAGGGGTACGAGAGCCAGGAGTTATTCTACAGTACACAGGCTGCATGCGCTTGGGATTCCCTTCCCTAGGTGCCATGTAAGTACTGCCCTTGGGGCTTGAGGGTTACCTTCCACATGTCCCTTGGGTCCTGCCTCTGCGGGCTGTTTAACTGCTTGGATTTTTGGCTGCTCTTTGAGTGCTTGGGTGTTTTGTCTCCCTTGTTTACCTTAGGGTAAGAGGCAGTTTGCACTGGTAAGGGGCGCAGGGTGCAGTGCAGCTTGTTTTCATCATTCATAGCGGCCGGCTCTGTTCCTTTGGGTACGTTGTCCTCTTGCGGGGTTTTGTTTTATTTTTGTATGTGCCTTGTGGGGGAAGGTCTGCCTTGCTTGCCCCTTGGTGTTTGACCTAATATGGTTTTCTTCTTGTGGTGTCCCCTGCTAGGTTGTGGTGGACCTAGTGAAGGTCACAACCGAACTGGGTTCCCACTTTTTTACTGTTAGTGCTGGTTCTCATCTTCCTCAATCCTTCCTTCTTTGTAAGCCCATTCTTGAATCTCATCCCTTATATTTCTGCACTCATCTCCGCCTTCCCTATAATGATCCAGAGAGAGAGAGAGAGAGAGGGCTTCCACTCATTAATTAAAAGTTACACAACAGGTGGGTGCAGCAGTCATAACAGCTAACCAAATTCTTGCGATACTCAAGCGTACTTTTGACTAAGGAAAAGAAGGTAATGGTTCAACTATAAATCTCTGGTGCACCCTCACTTAGATTACTATATCCATGCATGGAGATCTCATTTTCAGAAGGGCATAGCCGCTCTGGAGAAGGTGCAACACTGGGCAACAAAAGTCATTCCAGAGCTAAGTCATCTCTCGTATCAGGAATGCTTGAAGGTCACAGGGCCAACAACACTGCAAAGCAGCCATGACTGGGCAGATCTCATTGAAACTTTTAAAATACTGAACAACTTGGAGGATGTTGATCCAGATATTTTCTTCGTCAGGTCAGATGTAACACAAACAAGAAGCAACGGTTTCAAGCTCAACAAGCCACAATGTAGGACTGAGAACAGGAGATGCTTTTTCACCCACAGGGTTATTAATCCATGGAACCGCCTACTCGCTGAAGTCATAACTGCCCAAACTGTGCTGAATTTCAAAATATACCTGGAAAAAGATCAAGGCAAATGGGGAGGACCTTCACCAAGCCGCTGGCTTCTTGTCCTCACCAAGGCCACTTGGGTTAGTGGCCTTCGGCTAAATCAGGTAAATCGGGATTCATTTATTGGAGACATATCCAGATAATTTTCAACTATTGATTGCTTAGAAAAATTCCTTGGAATCCATTCCAGACAGACTATGCAATATTTATCCTTGCATTACTTAACATGATTAAGCAACAATTTTTTATTAGTCGTCATTGATCCCATAAGTTTGCATATTAACAGGTGGATGTGCTACATAGGTATTAAGTGAAACCCTTGCAATCATACAGGTTGTTGGGTTAAAGCACCAGTAATTTATTCATTGTTAACAAAGGCTGGTACAAAATGGACAATGTGCGACTTGCAACATGCACTAGTTACAACAATAATAGGATACTCTTGGCTCAAGCCTGAGGTTGAGGAGGCCTACAGTCTCAAGTCTCGCATGAGAATGTTAAAACACACTACTCCCAACGATTTCCAATCTGGACCTCTTTCATAATTTTCTAGTCAAATGAGAGATTTTGTGCAAGTTAAATAATCATATGTTTTTTGTGATGCTGTTTTGTATTTTACTAGTAATTTTTTTGGTATTCTTCATATCAATGCCAAGTACAGTATGTATGTATGTATGTGTGTGTATATATATATATATATATATATAATGTGTGTGTGTGTGTGCGTGTGTAAATGTGTGTGTGTGTATGTATGTATATGTTTTTATATTTTCTTATCCTTCGATGTTAAGCCTAATCAGGATTGAGGCACTGAATGTTTGCTTATAAACTATCTTCCTACAATGTAATGTTAAATATCTCGTCAAATACCGTGCTATATCTTTGTGGTAATTTAAAAATGTTAAACGTAAACTAAAGCAAGGTTCTTTATGCTGCTAAAGAGGTACAGTCTGGATGTCTTGTTAGTAGCTGGGTGATCTATAATAGTCCAAGTGATGACATTATTATCTTGCCTTAAGAAGCACAAGGAACCTCAAGAAGGATAATCTAACCAATTATAAGTATTTACGCATGCCCCATAAATTACCCGGTACTCCATTTCCACGTGAGGCTTCTAAGTTCAGGCTGCTGCAGTCATGAAGCCCATCTGGAACAACAGGTAACTGAGGAAATATATATTCTTGTTCATGCCTGGAAATTGATCCTTAAGAACTTCATGAGGACAAACCTTGACAGATTGTTATAGCCAAACTTACTTTTCCAGATTATAAAATCAACAAGAAATCACAAATTACTGATAATAAATTAATTTTATTATATATATATATATATATATATATATATATATATATATAATAATATTTATTATGTATACTGTATACTGTTTTTTTTAACTAGAGTACTCTCACAAGAAATAAAAGATAAAACTGGAATATGAAATGATTCAAAAATTTTTGGTTTGGCCTCACACATACTTAAATATCTAATGTTTAAACTTACATTTACATAGACAACATGTTAATTTGATTTCATATATCTGGTCAACTCAAAAACAGTCAAAAGATTTTGATCATAATATGATATACACTCATTCTGACATATATTACACCAATATACTAAGAATAAATTATAATTCATGTCCCTTGTGACACCAGTTATACACTCACAGTAATTATTTACAACACAGTTATCATCAGCTTCTCAAATATTGCTTTTGCAGTGTCTATATTGTTAAATAACATATATATCTGTATAAAAGATTGTCAAAACACAAATTAATGCAAATATTTTCTGAACTACGTTATTTGGTAACGGTGACTTAACAAGAACAAAGACATCGTTTAATTACAAACCAAAACAGGTACAGTATATAAATTTCAAATATCACTGCCACATGATGTGGAAGACCTATTAATACATAAACTTGAATTGTTTCACAGCATTCTTTGTAAATTTATTTTAAATATACTGTGTGTACTTACCTAATTGTGCTTGCGGGAGTTGAGCTTTGTCTCTTTGGTCCCGCCTCTCAACTGTCAATCGACTGGTGTACAGATTCCTGAGCCTACTGGGCTCTATCATATCTACATTTGAAACTGTGTATGGAGTCAGCCTCCACCACATCACTGCCTAGTGCATTCCATTTATTAACTACTCTGACACTGAAAAAATTCTTTCTAACGTCTCTGTGGCTCATCTGGGTACTAAGTTTCCACCTGTGTCCCCTTGTTCGTGTCCCACCCGTGCTGAAGAGTTTGTCTTTGTCCACCCTGTCAATTCCCCCGAGAATTTTGTAGCTGGTTATCATGTCTCTCCTTACTCTTCTGTTCCAGGGACGTGAGGTTCAGCTCCTTTAGTCTTTCCTCGTAGCTCATACCTCTCAGTTCTGGGACGAGCCTGGTGGTATACCACTGAATCTATCTTCCGTGTGTGTGTGTGTGTGTGTGTGTGTGTGTGTATGTATAATTATGTAAGTGTAATTACCTAAGTATAGTTACAGGATGAGAGCTACGCTCATGGTGTCCCATCTACCCAGCACTCTGTCATATAACGCTTAGGAACTACTGATGGTTTTGGCCTCCACTACCTTCTCACCTAACTTGTTCCAACCGTCTACCATTCTGTTTGCGAAAGTGAATTTTCTTGTATTTCTTGGGGCATCTTCGTTTAGTTAGTTTAAATCTATGACCTCTTGTTTTTGAAGTTCCAGGTCTCAGGAAATCTTCCCTATCAATTTTATCAATTCCTGTTACTATTTTGTATGTAGTGATCATATCACCTCTTTTTCTTCTGTCTTCTAGTTTTGGCATGTTTAATGCCTCTAACCTCTCCTCATAGCTCTTGCCTTTCAGTTCTAGGAGCCACTTAGTAGCATGTCTTTGCACCTTTTCCAGTTTGTTGATGTGCTTCTTAAGATATGGACACCACATAACCGCTGCATATTCTAGCTTTCGCCTAACAAAAGCCATATGTGTGTGTGTGTGTAATTATCTAAGTGTAGTTACAGGATAAGAGCTACGCTCGTGGTGTCCCATCTAGCCAGCACTCATTGTCATATAACGCTTTGAAATTACTGACGGTTTTGGCCTCCGCCACCTTC